AAGTAGTATTTTCGAAACCCGTTTAGATTTTTCGCCAACTGCTGTCTTTATATGAACACCTGTCAGGGGTAATTCTTCAAATTGTCCAAGTCTCGTTTTATTTTCTATTATCCATTGTTCAGATATACAAGTTACATTTGCTCCTGTATCTAAAAGAGCTGTGGTTGATACATTATTTACAAATAGACTAATTTCAGGACATTTGTAAGTATTATTAGAATTTTCAAGAAAATTATTTGTGTCCTTTAAGTCATCTTGGAGTAAGAAATTACGATCACACATAATATTGCTAATGTTGGTTAAATTTTCAAATTTGTTCTCAAAGTTATATACAGGTTTAGGCCGTAAAATTCCGATTTTTTGAATAAGCACTGAAGAATCGTTTGATGGTGAAAGGGGTGTAAACAATGAGGAAAGTTGATTCTGGGCCTTTGGTTCATCAGTGCTTCCTAGTTTAAAGCCTGATGATTTGGATTTATATAATTGGTAGTTCCGGTAGTAGGGTTGCTTTTGTCTATAATTGCAGAACATACTTGGGACTGTTCTTGAGACGGGTACTGACGTTCTTCACGGTGTGGTGAGTTGGTCTTGTTGTTTGGTCTCTGGGAGTTGTAGTTTCCTCTTCCTCTGGAATTATAATCTTTCCTGTAGATGTTCTGTTGTCCACTGCTGTAGTTCTGTGGTTGACTGTATCCCCTCGAAGACTGGTTGTAAGAGCCATGGTTGTACTGCTGGTTCAGGCGAGTTGGACTGTTTGGCTGTCTGTTCGGCTGGTAGTGGTTACGATTACCCTGTTGGTTACTGTAATTGTGAGTACGTGGGTGTGATGGTTCATAGCGGTTGGACTTTGAAGTCATGGTCCGTTGGTGAGCGTCTTTGAGGTCCTCTCGTTGTAATAGCAGCTCAAACTCGTGTACCGTGGTGACATTCTGGACTCGTCTGGCATCTTGTACTAATTCCGAAAAATGGTCGGACAGGATTACAATGATTTCTTCGTCGGTCAAAGGAGGTGTTATCGATCTTAGTGTCAAGACTTTCTCTATAAAATATTCGGCTCTTGATAGTCTGCCATCCTTTCGATATTTTTCAACATCGATTCTTTGCTTGATACCACGTTGAACCTCGTGACTCCAATATTTGTTCAAAAACATTGCCTCAAAATCGGTCCAATTTTTTATTTGATATTTGACCAACTCAAACCATTTAGATGCGTGGTGGTCAAGACATTGTTCAATTACATCCAATAAATGTTCAGACTCATCGTTTGATTTCTGATTGTCAACATTCCGTTCGTAAAAACGTTTAAGTTTACTCAAAAATTCTTTTGGATTTTGTGTCTTTCCATTAAATTTAGGTGGGTTAATGTCTAGATAATTTCTGCTAGTTCCCGGACAAGTAACATAAAGAGGCGTTATTGTACTAGTTGATTTGGAAATCTGTTGTTCCATGTTATTAATTCGATAACTATGGTTGTCTGTTATTGAATTTAGTTTGACCAAGTTCTCGTTCTGTCCTTCGATTTTAGTAACTAAATCGTCATTTTGTTGTTTTAGGTTATTTTGGCATATATTTATCTGTTGTTGCAATTTAGAATCAAAATTTCGGGTTAGGTTATTGCTCAAAGTAGCAATATTTTGATCAATAGTGATCTGATTAGTCTCAATTTGAGTATTTAATTCATTACGGATTTCTTGAGATTTAATTTCGATCTTTTTGTCAACATTCATTTCAATGGTATTTATTTTGAGTGAGTGTTCAGATAAGGTATTGTGGATAGCTTCAATTTCAGACTTTACGGTTTGAACATCTGATTTGAGATTAGTTATTTCGTGAGAAATAGCATTTACGTGATTTTCTATGGATTTAATATCCTTTTGAAGGTCATCTCGCATCAAACTAATATTTTGGTTGAGTTCATTTTTGAGATCATTTAAGCGTATATCACTGTCTTGTTTGATTGTGTTCATATTTTGGTTTACTAGATTTATGTCTTGTTTCAGTTCACGAAACAAATATGTAATTTGTGTTAGGATGTTTGAATCATTAGTGTTGCCGATCGGCTGGTGTGACTCATTCATTGGATTGGTCAGTGAGCCAGTTTTGTTTGGTTCATTCAACTGCAGATCAGCTGTTTCGTCGTTCTGGTCGCTTGGAATAGTACACATTTTGTCACGTGACGTCATACTGCCTTTTTCTGTCTGACGATCCAGATCCGCCATCTTGATCTTAGGATTAGAACCTACACTGTCGTTAACCTCAATAACGTCTGTTTCTAATGGATTTCTATCGCTTTCCAGACCATGAAAAATAATTGATTCTGGGATTCCTCCAAATAAAATATGATGATAATTGTTACTTGTTTCAACATTATTTGTAGTGTCTATAGTTACTAGTGTATTTGAATGTGTTTCGTTGGTTAGAGTTGCTTGACTAGAATGTACGGTGTTGCTTACGGCATCTTGGTTGCTAGTATCATTGTTGGTTGTGGTAGACCTATTTCTTAAATTATATGCTTTATCTTCCATAATATCGTATAATAGTGATCAATAATAATAGTTCAATATATGGATGAGGTGTTGTGAATGATATATGGTTATGGATGTGCACACAAGGTTAGTTATTCTTATGCTTAGAATTTAGGTTGTCATAGGCCTATTACATCGAGATAGGTCTGGAAGTTATTTTGTATTGGATAATATCACATAAGCTACTTTTTTGCCACACGTTGCAGGCGCCAATGTAAAGTTCTTTAACCTTTGTTTGGTAAATAAGTAATAAATAAATGTCCAGGGTTTACAATGATGAATACATATAAACCTTTTATTAGTCAAATTGTACAAATAAGTAGGGTTATAAATTTAGATGAAACTCTTAATCTCAGGGTTCTAGGAATGTGCCGGCTTAAAGTAGGCTTATGTGATGTTGTATAGGCATAAGCCTAATGTTCATCACAAGTTATGTACAGTTCAATTTACACTTTTGAAAGAAGAAAGTTCAAATTTTGAATTTAGTAAAATTACAATTTAGGTAAAAGTTCAAAACGGCAAAAGCCAATAGAAATTTTGGAATGTGAGTATTTAACAAAGTACAAGTTCAGTTTGATCTCACCCAAAAGTTTATGGTAGTCTTCTCCACAAATATATTTCTTGAGGTAAAAATGATATGTATTAAATAATTGAGAAAAATCTTGATATTTTAAATACTATAAAGTTAAATCACCAATTAAAAGTTTTAAATACTCTTCCTGTCTTGCTTCTTCATTACTTATTCTCAATTGAAAAAAATCTTGATTCTTGATGTTCAATTTCATACATCTGTTTCAACAATTAGTTCAATGGTTCCTTGATGTCACTATTCACTGTTACTTTTATGATTGGTTGGTATTATATGAAGAGTATTTTAATTACATTTTTGAAAGTGAAAGAGAAGAATAATTTTGTAAAATAATTCAAACTGTATAAATAACTTCCAGTGATTATAAATTTGGCTTATTAAATAAATGACAGTGTTTGATGAGAATGTGAAATATGGAAATTTACAATAGGTGGAACCTTTTGCCCTTTTACTGCATGTAAACACATGTGATAATTTAGAGATATGAATTTAGCTAATAGTAGGCCTAGGAATATACAAATTCAAAAGTAAACAATGAGGATAATTTTGGAACATCTCAAGTCACATACAGGTAGTGGTCCAGGGAAGCAGCTGCATGTTATGTCTTTGCCCTTAGTATTGGACTGATGCAGTCCCAATTGTCAGTCTCTGGGTCGGAACATTCACTCACCTCTTCATGGAGTTTAGTGCCAAGTCTCTGTCCAGTCCACCAGTCACTTACAGGTAGTGGTCCAGGGCAGCTGCTGCATGATGTGTCGTAGCCCCTGGTAATGGACTGACACAGTCCTAACTGTCAGTCTCTGGGTCGTAACATTCACTCACCTCTTCATGGAGTTTAGTGCCAAGTCTCTGTCCAGTCCACCAGTCACTTACAGGTAGTGGTCCAGGGCAGCTGCTGCATGATGTGTCGTAGCCCCTGGTAATGGACTGACACAGTCCTAACTGTCAGTCTCTGGGTCGTAACATTCACTCACCTCTTCATGGAGTTTAGTGCCAAGTCTCTGTCCAGTCCACCAGTCACTTACAGGTAGTGGTCCAGGGCAGCTGCTGCATGATGTGTCGTAGCCCCTGGTAATGGACTGACACAGTCCTAACTGTCAGTCTCTGGGTCGTAACATTCACTCACCTCTTCATGGAGTTTAGTGCCAAGTCTCTGTCCAGTCCACCACTCACGTACAGGTAGTGGTCCAGGGCAGCTGCTGCATGTTGTGTCCTTGCCCCTGGTAGTGGACTGATGCAGTCCCAGTTGTCAGTCTCTGGGTCGGAACATTCACTCACCTCTTCATGGAGTTTAGTGCCAAGTCTCTGTCCAGTCCACCAGTCACTTACAGGTAGTGGTCCAGGGCAGCTGCTGCATGATGTGTCGTAGCCCCTGGTAATGGACTGACACAGTCCTAACTGTCAGTCTCTGGGTCGTAACATTCACTCACCTCTTCATGGAGTTGAGTGCCAAGTCTCTGTCCAGTCCACCACTCACGTACACGTAGTGGTCCAGGGCAGCTGCTGCATGTTGTGTCCTTGCCCCTGGTAGTGGACTGATGCAGTCCCAGTTGTCAGTCTCTGGGTCGGAACATTCACTCACCTCTTCATGGAGTTTAGTGCCAAGTCTCTGTCCAGTCCACCAGTCACTTACAGGTAGTGGTCCAGGGCAGCTGCTGCATGATGTGTCCTTGCCCCTGGTAATGGACTGACACAGTCCTAACTGTCAGTCTCTGGGTCGTAACATTCACTCACCTCTTCATGGAGTTTAGTGCCAAGTCTCTGTCCAGTCCACCAGTCACTTACAGGTAGTGGTCCAGGGCAGCTGCTGCATGATGTGTCCTTGCCCCTGGTAATGGACTGACACAGTCCTAACTGTCAGTCTCTGGGTCGTAACATTCACTCACCTCTTCATGGAGTTGAGTGCCAAGTCTCTGTCCAGTCCACCACTCACGTACAGGTAGTGGTCCAGGGCAGCTGCTGCATGTTGTGTCCTTGCCCCTGGTAGTGGACTGATGCTGTCCCAACTATCAGTCTCTGGGTCGTAGCATTCACAAGCACTATCACCTTCCCCTTCTTCCTCCACACTATCCTCCTCCATCTATAAAAATGAAAGTTATATGAATAGTTTTTATACCTTAGTGTTATTAAGAGTCTGCAGGCCACACTTTTTTCTGGGGGCCACCAATTTCTGGTGGGACAAAGTTTTGGATTTCAGGTCTTCAGCTATACCCAGTCGGGCCAAAATTATGTGTCTTTGGAAAGGTATTGATTTTAATAATAATTATAATTGTAATACATTAATGCAATTATACATTGAACATAATCCCTCCATATATCGGTAAGATAAAAAAAAACCTTCCACAGTTTCAACAAAATGGAGAACATATTTAGTAGACATAGAAAAATTGTGAATGTCTATTATTACGGTCACAGCAAAATCCTAAACCTCTTCCACGGTTACAGCAAAATTAAGAACATCTTATGCGGTCACAGCCAAATTGTAAATGTCTTCTGAGGTTATTGTTATACAGAACCTCACATATTTGACAACAAAATTTGAATTGTAGAGGCTCAAGTATGTGCAATTTTGAATTGGAGAGAATGCATTAAGCGTAAAAATCACATTGAATTATCGGTATATTATTTTTGGAGTTTTAGAGGTTTTCTGAGGGGAACAGATAAACATTACTAATTATAGAGGTTTTTGAATTATCGAGGTTCGAATTAGTGAGGTTCTACTGAATAATCATCAACACTGCCACGATTACTGCAAAAACTTTGAACATCACCAACGATTGGGTGAAATCGTAAATTTTCGATCGTGCATCTTCGCAGACGCTTTCTGTTATTGCAAAAATAAAAGATATGCTCAGCTTCACTCGAGCTTGGTTCGAACATTTTTCCTACCTTAGTCCCCTTTAGCCAATTGTTAGCCCGACCCAAACAAAAAATATTGGGGATCCACAGACCCCTACTTTATATTAATTTTAATTTTTTTCTCCAATCTTTTGGAGTTAACAGTTTTTTCTTTTTATTAGCACTGTATGTCTGTTGATTATTTTTAAGACAAGTCTTGAAATGTACTTGTAAATAATTTTAAATTCTAAAATATATACTACCATAAGTTTTTGTTTCTTAGGAGTGATTTTTTGTGTTTGTTTGGCTACCTCACTCACACCTCCCACAGCGTAAAGTCTATCTCCCACAACGTTGAGAGAGAACCTGCACCTCTCCTGCTGCATAGGTGCCATGGTCGCCCATTCATCACGTCTCGGACTGTAGCGAAATCCAAACGGGTGGATGTTTTCCTGGAAACCACAAATTGAAAGTCTAAAAATCTATGTCCTATGTCTGCATGAAGAATTGATTAATTTTGAAAACATGTAATACAATAGCACAGTTTAATGCAGTTTTAGCGAATTTTTATATAGGGGAATGAACACGAGAACGAGTAATTTTGATCAGATTTTGACCAAATTTGGTTTGTAGGTTTAGGGAAGGACAAACTTGAATGAGTTTGCGAACCAGCGAGATCGAGTCATGGAAACAGAGAATTATGGGGTTTTTTAATTTTCAAAAATTCATCGTGCGATATAGTTTCTTTCCATGCGTTGCGAAATGCTAAATTTTCCTTCCTCTTCAACCCAAGTTATCTACTGAACCACTGATTGTAAAAATTCAAAAAAAGAATATTTTACGCATCAAACTTTTGGCTACAACTTTGTCACAGACAAAACCTCTCTAACCAAAAAATAAAAAAATTCTCGCATGCTAACTTTTTCATATTAAAAATCACGATTTAAAACAATTTCACCATACTTCAATTTTTATAAATTAGATTGGTGAATAGTTTGAAGTTCCAACAAAACAGTCATCAAGTAGGACTAACCAAAAAGCTCTGTGCCAATTTTCAAAATTTTAGCACAACTTTAAGTACACCAAAACACTAAATTATTGAAGTCTTGCGTCGAGAGGACTATCGTTGTTTTTAACAGAATATACTTTTGACCTTCCGGCACTGTTGACTCAGCGAAACAGAACTTGTATTTTATCGTATTTTGTTATATTAAAACTGCTGTTGCATTAGGTCACATTCCCGATGTGTCAATCGCTTTAACATAGACTACGTTTTTAGCACGGACTGTATTATTTGACTCAATGGGATTTTTGATCTACAGACACTGCAAACATTGTAGTTTTTGACCTATCGGCACAAGTATAAATTATTTGACCTTCCGGCACTGTTGACTTTCTGCAACACGTCCAATTCTTCCTAACTGATTTTAAACACACCTAAATGACAACATTATCCATAGTTTAACCAGTCTAAAACCTAGATAATGCGCGCTATTAATCAGTATAGCGCTGTTTAGTGATAACCTAAGGTTAATGGTTAATAATAAGACAAAGATTGCACAACAGATAGAGGCTAAGGTATAAAAAATAACGCATTACTAGCTTTAGTTAATGAGCTATTTATAAATTCTTTCAGATGTTAAGAAACCCAGATACATGACACGCGGAGAGAGGATTCTTATGGCGATTACAAGTCCAGAAGTACGAGAAAGACAATATCCCTATCTTGAAGCTACCTCTTGGCAACAGAGGCAATGTAAGTTACCTACTTATTACTTAATTTATTTTCATTCTACGGATGTTGGCCAGGTCATAGTGCATACTGGTGTATAGTAATAGCAAAATCGGAATGCCGATGGAGACCAGGTAGGTTCACTCACACACACGATTTGCGGACCGAGGAGTGCACAATACCTGCTCTAATGAGAGGTCATAAACAAAATTCGTCAGGGTAGGACCGAGGAGTGCAGAGATGCTTGCGCTCCTTGGTCCTACCTGTGCATGGAACTAATCCCATACTTATAAGGATTAAAAGAGACAATGGCTGGGTCGACCCTGCAAGTAAATCCCATTACTCACTGAATACACCAATTAAAAGTGAAAGGAGTAATTTTGAATCCATAAATAATTTAACAGAGACAATGCAAGTACTGTATTATGTATTCCAAGTAGGTAGTTATATTAAAAACAATTTGTTTTTGTTCTACATAATCAGCCTATTTTCAATGCAGTGATGAAAACGAATAACTAAAATTATTCTAATATGTTAATACGACATTATGTTAATATGACTACATATTTTTCTAATTGCAGTTCAATACAAATTAAATATTTATCACTTAATAGTACGGAACAAAATTTTCATTTTATTATGATTAAAATCATATTTGCTAATACTGTAGGTCACAGGCAAAGAGTATGATTATTGGTACACTACTTTGGAAACAGCAGTTTTCTCTATGTGTTTATGATTTGCAAACGACCTATTTACATAAAAATTTCTAATTTTTAAAATTGTGGCAGAAATGTGTAGGGACGAGAGGTCCGAGGAGTCATGTGAGATTCGTGTGCTTACTTATGCTACTTAAATAAATGTTGCAGCTATTTTTAAAGCTGAAAACAGAGCACCACCTGGCCAAATAAATCTTAGGTCTTTTCCAAAACTAATAATTTTAAACGCGAATCCGTTCTAGATCCGTTGTTAGATCCACTTGCTTACCCTCTTATGTTCCCAATCGAAGACTTTCGTTTGCGCCCCTAATTTAAACACGCCTAAAAACAGAACATACAGGTAGTACAAATAATTTAACAATGCTATAGTATGTGTCGTACTGGTTGGTGTCAAGAGAGCGATTTAGCTTGCTACAAAAAGTCTGAAAAACTCACTTTACAGTGTGTGGTTGACATCTACGTTCTCATAGAGGGTACCCGCCTACATTACATAAGAGATAGCCAAAGTTGGCGAGTCGGTGGCTCAGTCGGTAGCGTCGCGGACTTCGGGCCCAAGGCAGTAGTGTCGTGGGTTCGGATCCTGGTCACTGCCACTAACTTTTATCAGTACAGTTCACCTTTGTACTGTACCGGCTCACCCCTTGCTTTGCTGGATACGTTCCACGCACAGATCTGTAGTCTATGTGGACGGGCAAATGCAAGGTTAAAAGAGGTCGCCAACCTCTTTAAAAAAAAAAAAAAAACATTACGAGAGCGGATCTATATTTAAATATTGTATATACTACTTTTATAATTTTTTTACATTATATTTTTCATATTTCTATAATCAGTCAGAAATTACTTTAGGGTGACTCTTTGATTAAGTCTTGCTGTTTATTTTTTTACTGGTTATTCTTTCATTACAGCCTGCAGTTTTGCTCGGTTTCGAGCAACAGGTTATCTAGTGTCTTTTATTGCTGACAAATATTCCCGTGGTGGAGCACGGGCGGTTAACTAGTAATCTTTACTCAATAGTAACAAATTATGTTTTAGCGAATTTCCCATATGGGGAACAAGCTATTACCGTAGGACTCATGGCAAGACCTGGACCCGGGGCCGATTTACTTTTTCATTTTGAGGTCCCAAGAGGCCAAAAAAGCACGATAACTCAAACAAAATTGATACGATTTTGATGAAATTTGGTATAAACGTGTAAACCTACGTTTATTCAAACGAGTTCGCGAACCAGCATGATCGGACCATGGGAACGGGGGTTTATGGGGGTTTTATGGGGTAAAATAGTATATTTTATTACTAGGACCGAAAGTCACATTTTCCGTTGCGCGCTCAAGTTTTTGTGTGAGGCGAAGCCGAACACAGGGAACCCCAATTTCACGTGCGAGGCAAAGCCGAGTATGTGAGAGTTATTTTCACGTACGAGGCAAAGCCGAGGGCGGGAATAATGGAGCAAGTGCCGGATAATAACTTTCGGTACGAGTTATGAATGATACTTTTCATCACGACGCAAAAAATACACAAACACAGAATAGCAGACCTCAGTAATATTAAAAGAATTTGATTTCTCAATTAATTTGATTGAACCTCAAAATAAAATGAAATCTTCTAAAAAGAAACCTACGTATATTTCTCAATAAATTTTGTTTAAACATCAATAGGCCTATAAGAGAATAAAACAACTTTTAAAAATACATACAGCTGATTCAAATTATTAAATTAAACCGTAACAAAACACTAGCGCGCGTAGTGAATAAATGGAGAACTAAATGAGGGCGAGGGAAAGTAAATTTAGAGCGAAGGAAAATCAGCTGATCGATTTTTCCTCGCCCTAAATTAGAGCTTGGGAAACGACTACTTTCATTGATGTCAGCTGTTGTCGAAAATAGTTACTTTCGTTAAGGAGTGATGAAAATGAGTTTTTCCCATTTGGACCCTAAAAACATAAAATTTTGGAATTTCTTCCCCAACCATTTTGTAGAGCTTAAAAAAAGAAATAATTAAGTATATTGAAGCATTGTTGTATGCCTAGTGGTTACGGAGAAAATAAAAAAAAAGTGTATATTTAAAATTATTATGTTATTCTTATGGAGAAAATGAAAACTGTTGTAGTTTACTTGTTTATAGATATATGTTGATAAAAATTGGCAAATTTATTTATTTCACCCTATACTATTGACCTGTTGGTCAAAAGACACTTTTTACCTTCCCCGTAGCAGCAAACCTAAGCACTCGATAAATCAAGTGTTATTTAAATTGGGAATAAATATGTCTTATTTAAAAATGTAATCAGACAAGTTGAAATTCGCTTAGTCTGCAGGTTTGCTGCGGTGGGGGTATTTCCTTTTGTACTGTATTTTGTAATTTGCTAGTATACTGTGGGTAGATGGCTTTTTATGAACACATGTTACAACTTACAAGTCTTTTGTTTACTTTTTCCTTGTTATTTCATTCAACCAACATGGTTACTTAGGAACCCATAAGAGTTATGTTAAAAAAATGTGGCTTTCAGTTTCATTTTTCTACGTAATTAGATTCTTATGTTATTCTTATGGAGAATAAGTAAACTGTTGTAGTTTGCTTGATTATGAACATATTTTGATCAAATTTGCAAAATGCATTTATTTATTAGGTAACTTACTAAACTATTAACATTTAACAAAAAAAAATACCTTTACCCTCCCAGTTGCAGCAAACCTAAGTACTCGTTAAACTAATTCAAATTCTATTTAAATAGGGAAGAAATGTGATATGTCCAAGGAGACATTTTAGTGTAAATAAAATCAGGCAAATGGAAATTTGCTTAGTCTGCAGGTTTGCTGTGGCGGCGGTATTATTTACATGTAATCCATGCCTGGTGTGATGGCGTCTCTAGAGAGTCCACAGGTCTAAGAGTCCTATGTGGGACTGGCTATACGCAAGTTGTCTAATAATCAGGTTGGCTTCCTTGATCAGATGGTTTTCTTGATTTAAAGCTCCCAAATCGTACCTGTATGGTAGTGTAGAT